GGAACAATCCCAGAGGACGCCAAGGAGCAGGAGGGGTCAGAGCAGACCCACGGGAAGGACTGAGGGGTTAGGATCCTGCCGGACAGTTACTGAGCTCCTGGAGTCTCTCCAGCGGTGAACATGAGAGGTGCTATACGGGGTGAGACCAAGGTCTGACACTGACCAACACCAGAGATTCAGAGGGAGTGCACAGAATAGGGCAATTCTGGAGTGATCCACCCCTGTCTTCCCCTCCCGGCTTCTGGCAGACGGAGGTTTGGGGCGCCCCAGGCATGGGGTTCCATCCCTGGCTATCCTGGCTCATAGCCATCGAGGGGCTGATCTTCTAGGAACTTCTCTAATTCTTCTTTGAACCCAGTTACACTTTTGGCTTTAGAACATCCCCCAGCAACACGTTTCTCAGGGTGATTGTGCGTTGTGTGAAAAAATACTTCCACGTTTGTATTAGACCTGCTGCCTACTGATTAGGTGACCCCTGGTTTTTTATTGTGGGAAAGAGTAAAGAACTCTTCTCTATTCACTTTTTCTCCACACCATTTTTCATAGGAAAATTTCAATTTGGCCAGAAAACATTGATTTTCTGTTGGGGAAAATGAAAGGGAAGATCCCAGGGCTGCCCGGCTCCCTGCCTGGGATGGAATTTCTGAAATATTTTCTTCCCACAGGAAACCTCCCATTTCCGACTTCCCTTCCGATCGGGAATGAAACCACTTCCGGGAATAACACATTTTCTGCGGGAAGAAAACTCCATTTTCCAGCCAGCTCTGGTTTGGCAGCACCTGGCCCAGCGAGGCCCCGATCCCCAATGGGAGTGATTCTGAGCGGGCAGCTCTCGCGTGTCCATTAATAACAACAACTCTCAGACACTCACCGCCCGTCTGGTTGTGCAGCTGCATCCACCATCTGGTATCGCCTCTAGCGCCCTCCTCAAACCCCCAGAACTGCTGGGTCTTTTCCTGGAGATACTCAGCGCCCAGGGCCTGTTCTGCCCACTCCTGGGTGGCTCTGACCTTTTGCGTGTCACTGCTGTAGTGCGCGATCTTAACATCATCCAGCCGGGCGATCATGATGAAGTGATAGGTCCCGTCTTCGTGGGTGACGGCTGTGACGAGCACGGCCAGGCTGTGGCGCCCTAAAGCAACAGGAGCGAGGTTGAGTTAACAAGCGG